ATTTTTATCTTTGTTTCTCAGAAGATCAATTGTAAAAATCGAGGATTTTTCAGTTTCATTAATTGTCACCCTCTTGAACTTGGGCTTTTGCTCAATTATCACATTTATTATCTCAGTTACATAACGTTCTGCACAGTCACAAGAAATAAACAGAGAAGAGTGTAGAAAAATGGACATCGAAGAATTTAAATAAAGTAAACTCTGTAGTAATTAATCTTCAAAAAATAAAATTTAAATAAAATAGACACAAAATGTAAACTGTTCCTTTTTTTATCTCTGTTTCTCAGAAGATCAATTGTAAAAATCGAGGATTTCTCAGTTTCATCAATTTTCACCCTCTTGAACTTGGGCTTTTGCTCAATTATCATATTTATTATTTCAGTTACAGAACGTTCTGCACAGTCACAAGAAATAAACAGAGAAGAGTGCAGAAAAATGGACATCGCGGAATTTAAATAGACTTCGACAAATAATTAAACCGAAAGATGGAATGAATAAATTTTACAGAAAATAAACCCCGAAATGTAGACGGTATCTTTCGCGCGAGGGTCCTCGTTTCTCAGACGCTCAATTCCGTATGTGTGTGTACAATTCTAAAAGCCGAGGGCACCGTCGGCGCGACTTTCGCCCTCTTGAACTTGGCGAACTCCTTTCGCCGCTACAGACATACCGGGGCTGTAACCGCGGCCCGTCATATCGAACGCCACGTTAAACGCGGCGGCGACATATTACGCGCCGTATAATGACCTGGAATAATTTATTATCGCTCCAGTTGTGACAAACTACCTGTGATACGGAATTGCGCAGCGTTGCACGCGCGTTTCCCAATACAGGTGCGGCGCGATCGAAAGGAAAAGGGGAGGGAAAAAAGCGAGAGAGAGAGAGAGAGAGAGAGAGAAAACGTTATCTCCCGCCCGAGAGAGATCGGCGGACCCCAATTACCCGACAACCCGACTCACCGATCCGCGATCAATTTTAGCTTTCGACGTGACAATCGGTAACAATCGCGCCCCCCCCCTTCCCCCCCGTCGCGCCGCGATCCTAAGCGTTTCGCTCCCGGGGAAAATTCGGGGAAATTCTGCTTGCGCAATGCGGAGATCGCGTGTGTGTGTACAATACGCGTGCATGTGCGCGCGCGGGGTGACCGCCGATGTCCCGTCTTTTTATAATCCTCAAAGTCAAACGCGGATCGAAGGATAATCCAGGTGGAAGTTAACGGATATCGATTCGAGGCCCCGACTTCCGACGCGTCTCTCAAACGAAAACAGAGAGGAGCAGAGAAGGCACCACCGCCTTTGGGGGGAGGGGGCGGGGGTGGGAGGCCTTGAGCGCGACGACGGTCCCGCGACTTCCCGGGTCGGGTGCACGCCGGGATATTCCCGACGTCCTTCCCTCGCGGTTTCGCCGCGACGGCCGCTCGCACGCTGGCGCGAGAAACGGGGTGTCGTCGGGGGTGCGCGGGGTCACCGCCGCGAGTGTCCGGTGCCGTCGCGCTCGGGTCCCGGCGATAGTGGACTTACCCGCTAAGAAGTGGTCTGATCCAGCCAGAATCATGCTCGTCCACGGTGTGACGTTGAAGAGCTTCCTTACGTGGCTCGGTGGCGCGGCCGGGGTTGCCTCTCGCGAAATAGCGAATGCATTATCCGCCCCCGACAGCTCGGCGGCCAGGCGGCGGGTGTCCCGTGAAATCGCGGGGCGAGAGCGTGGGGCCAGCTCGGCTTCGGGCTGGCCGCGACAATAATACGTGGGCGGGGGTGTACACACGGCACTCTGTTGCTCGGCTCCCGACGGCGCGTCGTCCGTGCGCCGTGCGCCTGCTACACCGCGACCCGCCGTGCGCGCGTGCGCGACCGACCGACCGACCGACCGCGAGCCACCCCCGAGGGCGCCGCGCGCGGACGGTTCGTGCGCGTCGCCAGGTGACTTCGATCAAACTCCAATTTGCTCGATCGCCGCCCCGATCCGACCGGTCGAGCGGCGAAACGTGCGATTAGCGACGATTGCGACGGAAGGTGCTTTTATTAAGTACGCGCATGGTTGGCGAGTAACGCGTTATTACTTCCCTGCTGAAAATATTCAAACGATTCAAACCGATAGATATCGCGTTGGTTTCTATAAAAATTAATCGGTTTCAATTCGATATCAATCGGGCCAATCGGGCGCCGGATTCGTGGAAATGCAAGATCAATCGAATTCAATCCGTAATCTGATTCAATACGGTATTTCCAGATAGAATTGAAGCAGTAACAATCGGTTTCTATTGCCCACACAGCACAGAAAGATTGCAAAAATGTTACATTGCAAGATTGCAATATTCCAGCAACGTTGCGCAACATTGCCGCAACGTTTCTGGAGGATTGCAGCAACGTTGAAATGTCCGCCCCCAGAGAGATTACAGTGCAACATTATAGCAATGTTGCAGTGCAATATTTTTGGAATAATTTGTTGTTGTACATAAGCAGAGAATTTACTAATTACATATATGTTGTATCAACATCTCAGGAACGTTCCATTACAACATTGCAATATTGCATCAATGTTACAAAACGCAGATTCAATGTTGAAAAGATATTGCAAAAACGTCTGATGTCCGTTGAATTGTAATGTCTTGCAAACGTTACAATTCAACATTCAGAGAACATTGTTAAATATTATTGAGCTAACATTGGTCGCGTTTAGCAGAATATTTTTTACAACTGTTGGAAGTGCTGAAATTGAATTGTTCCACTAAAATAATAATCCAACCTTAGCTCAAAAAATTTCTGGCCGCTGCAAAAATATCATATATATACAGGGTGGGGCGTTTATCTTGAGACAATATTTCTCGGTTGGAATGGATTATTTCGAAAAAAGTTTCAGACAAAAGTTGTTTGGTTTCGAGGGGGCCATAAGATGGTACCATTGGTTTGACCTTGAAGAATTATTTGAAGGTCACATAAAGGTCACACCAATTTTTTTTAATGGCATCCTCTATTTTTATTACATATTCTTGTAGTTGACCTCGAGAGCTTTCCAAAACGCTATAATAAAGTATTTTTTATTGAGAACTTTTTGAGTTATTAAGGTTTGAAAGTTCCAATATTTTGACATAAATTACAAAATATCTTGTAAAATATTTATTTTTTTATCTTACCTTAATACTTTTTTGAACAGAATAATGAGACAAATCAATCGGTGTAAAGAAAACACAATTGTTAAAAAAATTTTTTTATTACTTGTTACAAAATATAAAGAATTAATGTACAAACATTATCCTAGATTCAACGTAGAAAAGAGATTTATACTTCAACATTCAACATTGCAACGTTTCAGCAACATTATTTTAACTTTCTGCGCTGTATGGGAAGTGCGCAGGTACCCCGGAGCCCGGAGCGTCTCGAGACGAGGGGTACGCACGAGTTAGGTCATTTCCGTAATTACCGGCTCGGTTATACTGCAATTAATGTGATTGCGCGATTACACGTTATATAATTGTATATTATGATTATAGTATAATTATGTTACAATTTGTAATATTGTACGTACAACCGAGGCGATTATGGAAGCGACCTAGCTGCGTCACACGCGTTTCTCGTGTCGAGATACGGTACGATTTTGTGTTGACAAAAATGCTATTAATAACAAACGTATACGTTTTCGTATTTACGTAACGAATTATTTTTCCAACACACTCTCGCGCACTTTGCTGCGGTTGTGAAATAAGAGCAGCTTTTGTAAAAATGTCTCTCTCGATGAGATGTGATTTTCTGGTTTTCACGACCGTGATAAAAAGTATTGCGTTTCACTCAGGAAGTGAATTTCAGAGCAGATCGTTGCGTTTACTTAATTTTCACTTCATCGAGTTTCCATCCTCGACGTATTTCTTATTATATTTCCGACTTCGATCCCCGATGTTTTTTCATAAATAAAATTTGCACTACGGCGCCTCATATTAAAAGCAGATCACTAAGTACTTAACTTTCACTTTATTGAATTTCCCTCCTCGACGTATTTCTTATATTTCCGACTTTGATCCCCGATATTTTTTCGCAAGTAAAATTTGCACTACGGCGCCTCATATTAAAAGCAGATCACTACTTAACTTTCACTTTATTGAATTTCCCTCCTCGACGTATTTCTTATATTTCCGACTTCGATCTCCGATGTTTTTTCGCAAATAAAATTTGCACTACGGCGTCTCATATTAAAAGCAGATCACTACTTAATTTTTCACTTTATTGAATTTCCCTCCTCGACGTATTTCTCATATTTCCGACTTTAATTTTGCAATTCCCGATGGTTTTTCATAAATAAAATTTGATCTGCACTACGGCGTCCTATATTCTTTTCCATTTCCTTAAATAATTGCATAGGAAGTAAATATATGAATACTTCGAAGCCCCGCTGCGCAAATTGCTCCAGATTTGCGAATTCATTCCCGTTGCGGCGAGTGTTGGACGCCAGCTGTTGTGTCCGCGAATCTAACCTCGAAAATAAAACTCGTCGCAGTAGAAGACACGCGCGTATTCCGTGCGTTTAAACGACTCGGCCCGAGACGTTTCGTGGCTCATTCGCGAATTTACGGAAAATATAACGAAGAAAACGTGTTGCGCATTAATGATATTTAAATAATCAAGTCGAAGTGAATATTTCCGGGCGCGACGGTGGACACCGGGTCAGTTTCTGCAGGTTTACGCCCGGTTTCACCAACGTCGCTTAACTTTAAGCCCTAGCTTAAATTCGTTCTTTGCCCCTTTCCAACTGTTACTCTAGAAAGAGACGAACGTGAATTAAACTCTGATTAAAGTTGAGCCGACGTTCGGTGAAACCGGGCCTTAAGGATTCGATGGCTTCGACAAACAAGCCCGGATAGTCACCCGTACAGCACCGAAGCTTTCAGAAACATTTCGGAAAACATCGTTGCAATGTTGCAATGTTTCCGAAATGTTTCTGAAAGCTTCGGTGCTGTATGGGCAGAGTCCGCAGAGTATGCTCAAGCAACGTATGGAAATAAAATGCCAGCAACCGATGCTAGAGCTCCTCGCTAGGAATACGAGTTCAATGTTTGAGTGGTTTAAGTACAGCTGGCATAACGTTGGCACATTGTCGTAGTTAAGTGCACAGCTAAAGAGAGAACGCATCCCCAGATAGCCAGTGTGAGCACAAGTTGCTTTCACATTGCTAAGAAAAATGTTAGCATCCTGCTACGCATCTATGTCGTTTATTGTGCTGTTGTTTGCTAGCATTTGGTGTCGGAAATGAAACATTTGCACGATTCAAACATTATGCTAGCATTAAGTGCTTGGTCAGATGTAATAGATATAACATGTTTATATCTGTCAGAAAATTGAAAACAATATATGCTAATTCCTTGTTAACGGTATGCCTATTCGATGTGCTCTCTCTTTAGCTGTGCATGTAACCACGACAATATGTTAACATTGTGCTAGCTGTACTTAAATCACTCAAACATTGAATTCATATTCCCATCAGTTGCTGGCATTTTATTTCAATACATTGCTTGAGCATACTGGCTATCTGGGTCAAACGGGCGGTACTGTTAACAAAGAGTTAGCACGCATTGTTTTCAATTCTCTAAGGCCCGGTTGCACCAACATCGTTTGACTTTAGCTTAATTCACTCTTTCTATGGCAAACAGAAAGAGACGAAGCGTGAATGAAGCTACAGTTAAAATTACGTGATGGTGCAACCGGGCCTAACAGATATAAACATATTATATCAAGCACTTGATGCTGGCATAATGTTTGGATCGTGCAAATGTTTACGTTTCCGATATCAAATGCTAGCAAGCGACAGCACAATAGACGACACAGTAAGATGCTAGCGGTTTTGTTAGCAGTATGAAAGAAATTGATGCACACACCGGTTATCTGGGAGAGTTTGCGAAACTGGTATAATTTGGTTAAAATTAAAGGGCAAACAGTATTCCATCATTCATCTTTGTACTACACTTTGCATTTGTCAAGTGATGTTATTTACGAAAGTAACGTTTCCTTTCTAGGAGCGAATAATTATGAACTGCTTCACCGTCCTGCGGCTTGGACGTTGCACAGTCTTGAACAAGAGCCTGATTGAGCATTGCCTGAGACGGTGCGTGCCCGCGTGCCAATCCAGATTCTACGTCGCGGAGAGCGAGCAGCGTTACAGGCAGCGTGTCGACGCTAACGAACGGACCCAGAGGAAACCGTTGCGAATACGTATAGTGCAAAATTTCAAGTGTACGAGGAGAAAAGTGGAGGAGATCATCGAGAGGGAGAACATCTGGACGATACCCAACTTCCTCTGCATGGGTCGCATTGTTACGTCGCCGTTCTTAAGTTATTTGATCCTGTCGCAGGATTATCAGGTGCGACACGACGCTTTGGACGAGTAAGGCTGACTCGCGACAATGGAATTCGCAGATAAAGAAAAAGATGGACCTTGAGAGTCAGCTGCCAACCACGTTGTACTTTCAGAGCCCATCTTTCACTCTTTGAAAACACATTTGTTAAACATCCTCTTGTCCTCGCAACGCCGCGTGATGCAATTTCGATTTTGAAAATCGCAGGGAGTGAATTTCTCTCGTGTTTTAATCGAACACGCTTAGGATATTTCTTTAATAATGTGAAAAAAATATAGAGGGGAAGTCCCGTAATATGAGATAGCGGAGTTTCTGTTAAATTAATAGGCGTCATCTGTGTCGGTTCCACCATGAATTTATCGCCCTTGGAAGTCCGTTTAGTGAAAAATTGATAGATCGTGATTTGTGATTGAACTTGGACGTTGGAAACCTACTATCTCGTATTGGAACCCAGATAGCACACTGCATTCACAAAGTATTCTTTAAGTTTTCTTTTTTCTGAATTATAATTCTTTAGGAATTCATAGAAGAATACAATAAGAGTGACAGAGGAAGTTACATGCACCATAAATCGTTTTCCTGATAACTTCTTAAAGTATTCATCTCGAATTCAATAAATGTAAAGTTTATGAATTCAAGGGGAATAGTGTTAGAACAAAGAGGATTACAAAATATTTACCCCATGTATGTACACATCTAATATGCAGTAACATTACACCATTATTAGAATTTCTCACTCAACAGTGAGATACTCTCAACCGAAGCTCGTTGACAATCGGATGATTCTTCCGTTTCGGTTCTCGCCGTTCGATTCTTTTACACAATAGAACTATTGCACCAAATTAATTACACATAACGTTACGCACACAAAATATTGCACGTGGTAACACGCTGCACAAGAACATCCGGATGGCGGTTAGCGGATACTCGCGCATGACAAATAATTCCTTATAAATTCTTAAAGTATTCACAGTACTGAATCGCGAAGTATTCATTATAATGAACTTCAGAAGAATACTTCAAGACGAACTGATTGAGACTAATTCTTCAAGAATTCTTCAGATATTCATTTTTCTAATTCTGTATGTTTTCTTTAAAATGAATTCTCTATGAACTTATGTTCATCTTTGTGCTATCTGGGAACTCTGTCTCATAATAGAGAACTTTGCTCAATTGAAAATTTGCTATAATTGTAATCTCTACAATCGAATTTTGTGTCTTTAACGCTGTCTGTACCGTGGCGTAGATAGCGCTATGGTTGCTCGCGATTGCAGGACTGAGCGACCTGGCGGACGGATGGATCGCGCGCACTTGGACGTCGCAGGCCTCGAAACTCGGGAGCTTCCTGGACCCGGTCGCGGACAAGCTACTCGTCGGGACGCTGTTTCTCTCCCTGGCATGGGTCGGATTGATACCAGTTCCGCTCACTTGTCTCGTAGTCTCGCGCGACGTCCTTCTAGTAACCGCTGCATCTTACATCCGATATCGCTCCTTACCTCCGCCGGTTTGTATTGCATACCGCGTATCCGTCAGCTCTGCTACATATCGCTGGCTGGAACGTATCGGTGGATTAATCTCGTTGCGCGGTAATTTCAGAAAACATTGGCGAGATATTTTGATCCCACGCACGCCACCGTGCAATTGGCACCGACTCTGACGAGCAAGCTGAACACCGGGATGCAATTGTCTCTGGTCGCCGGGACGTTGGCTGCTCCGGTTTACCATTTCGTGGATCATCCGATCTTGCAATGTCTGTGCTATATAACGGCATTCACAACAATCGCGGGAGGTGTCAGTTATCTATTGTCGAAGGATACGTACAAATTGTTGAGGAAAAAGAAAACTCCGACGCGAACATCGTCCTAGACTGTACATTATATGTGTATTGTATAATAGCTTTCAGATTTAGGCCCGGTTGCGCCGTTACGTAATTTTAACTTTAGCTTAATTCGCTCTTTGTCTCTTTCCAAGGAAGTAGAAAGAGACGAAGAGTGAATTAAGCTAAAGTTAAAGTGAAGTTGTTGCCGGGCCCTATTTAGATTGTACAATGTATATTACTTCTTTTTGTACTATTGTATTATGTGCTACTTTGTACAGAGATTGATGGTCCTGAATTTAGGGACCTTTTGAAAAAGGTGCTTTTCTACAAGATTCTACGTGTATAAAAAGTTTTGTAAGGTACAATATTTTAAAATGATAAACTCGATATTTTTGTTATGGAAAACTGGCTTCAGATTGTTACGGAGGTGCGTATCCTCTCAAATCTGTTATACTATTGTATAAAATTTCTCAAGTATCTTAATCTGTTCTCTTCACCTGTGATAATTTACTACAAAAAGAAATCTGAGGGAATTTGATTATTTGATCATAACATTTTTTAGACGGTGATAATATGTATAATCTACCATAAATGTCTTATACCATAACTATGTTTATTAAAATAAGTACACGATACTATATTGCGCGCTCACGACAGTTGCTATCGTCACCCCGCTGGACACTCCATCCATATATTTTTACGTCCATGGATTTTTACCAATAGAGCTTAAGGGGATGCTGGAGTCTGTCTGTTTTACCGACAACGCGAAAGTTATGTATGTGTGCGTATATGTATATTACATAAAAAAGAAAGAGAGAGCAATAATACGATACATCTTTCCTTGTCTACCAGATTGCAGTGCCATCTTATTATCATGCAGTCCTCTATTTATCATTCTACAGCTGTATTTGCATTTATAAATTTTTCTCTAACCCTATCTTTTTTTTCTAGACTTTTAATCTTAGTTCCAAGTACACAATATTGTTCTTGCATGTTGTCTCTAGGTCTCTCCGGCCTCATTTTGCAGATATAAACTATAGAATTTTTGTATGCAAATATTATCGTCATGTGACAGCTCTACATGCCAAAATATTTAATTTTTTTTCGTTTTTTATATAAAGTCGAGCAGACGGACTTTTATTTTTGTGCGAACTTTAATCGTGTACAAGAAATTTGCAATTCTGTAAAGCCAATTAAAAGATATCCCTAATTAAAAAATGTCGGTAAAACAGAGAGACTCCAGCATCACCTTAACTTTAATCTTGTTTTAACTGTCTATCTTTTTCTAGTTGGAAGAATTAGAAATATTTTTGGATGATCCTTTGAATTTTGCATCTCTGCTTTTAAAAGTATTTATTAAAAATACGTGCGCGCGATCTACACTCTGCTATATGTAATCAGAAGTTTGTCCTTTTCTACGTGAACCTCTGCCCCCACTGCTCAAATAGCCACGGGCCACGTGACTGTGAGGTGTCACGAGATCAATTCGGGGATTGATTCGTCGCTCCTGTCGATTCTCTAAATGTAGTTCCGTAGAATCGGAAACGGGAAAATTATTCTACACTCTATAGACACTGTGTACATTCAGAGTGTAATATAATTTATAATGTGATGAAGACTCGAGCCTGATTGAATTTTAAAAAAAGAGTAGAAGATATAACCTAACCTAACCTAACCTAACTCGTAACCTGTAACTCTTGCATATAAACTCGGGCAAATATGAATACGCGAATCTTCAGGAGGATATTAACGGACTTTACGATCGGCAGAAGAAAACTGCACGTAACTTCGAGGCTGCCGAGTTTGCATGAATACGACCGGAAGTCAGGTTACAAGACTGTGTACGACAGACCACCACCGGAGCAACACTTGAGCGTTCTTGGTAGAATACGCGAGGGCTACCGGCAGCTCGGGGAAGAGCTCGGCCTCTTGGTGGAGGAGGTGAGAGAAAAGTTGAGGAACGACCCGATTTTTATATACAGACGCAACGAGATTGACGTTGTATGGCGATTCACGGGCGATCCGAAGTCGTTGGATCAGTGGGTCGTCATGTGTGACAGCGATTACAACGAGGGTTTTTCGACAGCCAAGTGGGTATAAAAATTATACGGATATATAGGCAGCCTTGGGCAAAAATATTTGCCACCTACGTGAAACCTCCATAACTTTAAATTATTTTACATTCAGGTTAAATAAACAGTGCCGGTTGAAAATGGGAATATTTATTGCGCGTCGACACGTAACGATAACAAAATAGTTGGTTAGACTCAAAAGAAGTTGCATTTCTAAGAATCGACGAGGGATGGCAAATACTCTTGGCCGAGGCTGTGTGTTACTGCATGTATTTTTACATTACATAATTTGTACATCGTTACATGTCTAAATTTTCTTATCGTTCACTTCCTTTTAGATTAGCGTTGTCTTCTAATGGCACTGGAGTATTCTCGGGTGTGTTAAGCACTCAATTGCCCAAGGACGGGAAAGTGAAGTACGCCGGTTATTGCAATATTACCAGTATACCTAAGCGAAGATCTTTCAAGCGCGAGGTTTATCACGACTGGACACGGTATACCCATCTCGTTCTTCGTGTCAGAGGGGACGGCAGATGCTACATGCTGACTATCTCCACCAGAGGTATATTCGACCTGACTTGGAACGACGTGTACCACTACGTGCTCCATACCAGAGGCGGACCTTATTGGCAATACGTCAGGGTGCCGTTCTCCAAGTTTGTATTTTCGAGTAAAGGCAGCCTGCAGGATAACCAGCCGCCGATCGAGCTGCACGAGGTTACGAATTTTGGCATATCGTTGGGGGACGACGTTCCCGGCCACTTCAGATTGGAAATCGATTACATCGGTTTAGAGTTCGACGAGTTCCATAAAGAGGAGTCCGCTTACGAATCTTACGATTTTAAAGGAATCAGATTTTAGTATGTACGTATATAAAATAAAGTGTGTGATCTTATTGTTGCCGTCTGTGCGGAGGTGAGAGCGGAAGAACGAATATACGTTGTATAATATGTGAATAATAAATTTGCAGCGCTTAATTTATTTAGCAAATCCGAAAGGGTTGAAGCACAAGCTCATTTGCCATCGTATTTATTCGTGAGGCAAAGTCACAGAATGTATTATAAGTTTCAACAATTTTTATCTAGTTTTTCCTCTTGCCCTTAAAAATACAAGTTGTGGCGATGTAGATCAAATCTTTCGTATAAATTCTTTTTCCGAATGTGTTAAATTGACTACTGAAAGATGATGTATTCAAAACTTTTTTCATCGAGTTGAACAAATCATTTTTCAAAAGGTGAAGCCCGTATCAGACCACGGATTGAGCTTGAAATATTTGACCAATCAAAGTAAAGTTTACTAATCTTCAGGGTATGGAAGTAACGCGTTACTCGTAACGCTGTTATTGTTACAAGTTACTTTTTTTTATAACGGACTGGTAACGACGTTACTTTTTTTCTTTTGTAACTGTAACGGTAACTAGTTAATTTTAAAAAGTAGCTTTCCGTCCCTGCTAACCTGAAGTTTAGTGACTTTTACTCTAATTAGTCAAATTTCAATCTAATCTCAATCTCAATCCGTAGTTTGATACGGGTTTGAGATATATTACCAATATTCCCTAGCGGAAACATTTCTATAAATAACTACAACAACTTGACTTGAAATAGAAATTTGTAGAAATTTTTGTATGTTCGTTGAAATATTTATTTCTTTGTAAAAATATCTATAAAATAGTATCACAAATTACAATGTTCTCAAATCAAGAAATTATTGCAAGTAGTATTTCATGAAAATGTACAATTTTGTAAAAATTAATGCAAAATTTTACTCGCTTTAAAAATTTGTGAAACAACGAAATCTTAAAGAATCAAAACATCTGCTTACTTGTGGAATATTACAAAAATTAACAAAAGTGTTCCAATTCTAACATTTTTATGTCGATTTTTTTATAACACTTTAAATTTACGTAGAATTTCTTAGACTCTGGCAGTTATATTTAATTTTTTTGTAGAATTTTGTAGAATTATTTCCGGCAGGGTTGTCGGTAATATACACAATAAAGTGCAAAAATGTCGCCTGGCACATAGTCATAAATAGAGAATATTTTTCTAAAAACAAATCAAAGTGTCGATTGTCTAAAGCGGGCTTAATTTTTTGCCCTTTCTTTAATTTCGTTTAAACGCTCCGTAATTTGCGTTAGATTTCAAGATACAATTCTATCTATAATTTTATGTGCTACATTAGAGTATTATATATCTTTTTACATTTATTTTACATACATATGTATTTTTATGCGATTCTTGGAATGTTTTCCGTATTGTACAGCATATAAAATTATAAATATAGAATTCTATACCGAATTCTAGCGCGAGTTACAGATCTGTCAAATTAAGTTCTATGTTATGTAAATGTGTACGTGTATGCATGCGTGCGCGTACATATACTTGATACGTGTATGTTTCTTATTGAACTCAATGTAAAGTTTATATTGAGTAAGATACAATAAGTAAATTAATAGAAGGTATATTCAGATTTTAGTTTTTCGTGTTTTTCATTATTTATACAAAAAAATGAAAATGCAGTCACAAAAACAAGAAAAAAGGGTACCATCCCTTGTGGGGATCGAACCCACGACCTTTGGATTAGAAGTCCAACGCGCTATCCTCTGCGCCAAAGGGACTTGGTAGTGCTCCTTAAAATAAAAAGTAATATAGTGTCATTAATTTATCGGGATAAAAAGTTGATTAAATTTCGCATATTATCTTGATATTTTATTTTTTACATCTTTCAGGAGCAACGAAAATTATTTTTAAAAGCTAAAAGATGTATTTTCTTCATGAGCTTGAAGAGCTCAAGACTCACGAAAGGATTAAAGATTGACAAGATTATTTGTGAAATACTTATCGCGGTTGTACATTGGTTAACAAATTTTAAATACTGAAGCAACTCAGTGATATAATAAAAAAATTAACAGACTATCCTAGCAATAAATTCTCGTCATTAAATTTTTTCATAATTTTGTTACACATACATATAAGTTGATTGTGGTAATAATTTCGCGATTTTAGAGATATTTGCAATAATTTGAGAGAAAACGTAGATGCACTTTATTTATGTGAGCTACAACTTTATTTAAAGAGTCGAGAATTTTTTTCATAAAAGCGCAAGCTCACATTTTAAAAATAGAATTATGATTTTCTTTCTGCAATATGACATCAGGTTACAGTTGATTGTTCGCGCAAGAAGTCGTAGTATGAAAACGATAGCGGAAAAGCTTTTTCGTAAATCCCTTTACTAAAGTCTAAAGAGAACTTTTCTAAAGTCACCCAAGTGGGCAACGTGAAGAAATCTTCATGCTTGTAAGAACATTTGTTGAGAGAACTTTTCGTTGTTGTTGCTAAAAGCGGCGCCAATGTTGAAGCTAGAAAGGCTAATGAGTTTGTCGACTTTGTGTCTTGTGGCATTTAAAGTGACGCTTTAAACATTCGAATTTCTCCCTAGTAGCAGAATATATTAGCGCAATATCGTTAGATGGGCGCCTCCTCTTATTTAGCCAATATATATCTATTTAGAAATTTTTGTTTAATATGTATCAATATTAGACCAATATTCATATTATATTGCTAAATATTGAACAATGCATTTTCTATACAGGGTGTTCCAGGAGGATAGGTCAATATTCGGTGTATATTGTGGGGGACATATAAATGGAGAATGGGACATATTCATATAAACATTTTTGTTTAAAATAACCGATACTACCACCTCCCAGAATATTGACCATTCCTCCTGGAACACCTTGTGTAAATCTAACGTTATATAATTATTATTGTGCAATATTTGCATTTATTTCGTGGCTAATATTGGCTTTACGTTGAGAAATACTGGCCAATGTGTTTTCAATATAGCCAATATTGGATCAATGTTTAGCCAAAGCACTGTGCTACTAGGGCTATGTTATCTTTCGATAGTCAGTTTAACATATTTGGAAAAGGAATTTTATACGAAATACCTGTCCATCGATTTCATCGCAACTTGTATTTTTAAGGGCGAGAGGAAAAACCACCATAACAATTGTTTACATTCATAATTATCTTATAAGGAAAATGTATGTGAGCGTGTGAGAGCCAAGAACTAAATAGAAATGTGATAATATAAATTGTGTACTTTGAGATCTCAGGATTGATTATATCAATTTTATTGAAATCCTTTGAAAATTAAATCGCTTACGTTAGACAAACTCTTATCGTCCGATTTTTTATTCTCTCTCTCTGGCCTCGGTTGATCTGAATCGAAAATATAGATATATTTGATATAAGAATTCCAGATAAGCTATTTGATAACTTCTCGACACACTTGCCACGACGCTATCGCGAAGCTAACAGATTTTTACATATTTCGCATTAAGATACTAAACCGCGTCGTTTGAAGCAGACCGAAATAACTTGAGAATTTTTATTTCAGTTATTAGTAATACAAAGTTAAAGAACTAAGAGCCGTGACAGGTGTCTAAATATTTCATATTTTTAATATTGCGAAAAATATTACCTCAGCCAGGGTTTGAACCTGGACCTCCCTCTTGCTGGGCAGGCGTCTCAACTAATTCGCGACCACTCAGGCGTATGGGGAAATATTCATCGCAATAAACAGTCTAATGTTGATTCCCGAATGTCACCTGTCGTCACATTTGTATTCGTAAACGAGAACTGTGCGCCGTCTTAAGAATGTATTGGACGTACAATCTTAGACAAAAGTGCATGAAATTGGAAATACTTAAGTATCTACTCTTAACGCACAGTAAATCTAGATGTAAGAAAGTTGAACGATAGTTGGAGTCTTATTTGTACTCCTACAAAGGTATTTTTCACTTTACAAATGTTTTTTCCTGAATTATTTGCGACTTTTTTCACTTATGAGCCTAAACTTTTGATAGTGAAAATACTCTGATTTCAATTCTTAATAACGTCAAATATTTTCAAAACTAAAAAATTCGTGCCGACAGCACGAATATCTCAAGTTATATTTTATTATATAACTTTATTATTGATTTCTTT